GATTGTCTCCTGAGTATCTTTCTGATAACCTTTGTGCTTAAGCTTGTAATAAAATAGCTATTAAACCCTCAACTCTGCTTCTTAAAAAAAAAAATTGGGGAGGGCCAGGCATGGTGGCACACGCCTTTAATCCCAGCACTTGGGAGGCAGAGGCAGAGATAGGTGGATCTCTGTGGGTCTAAGTCCAGCCTGACAGATATGGTGAGACCCTGGAGAGAGAGAGAGAGAGAGAGAGAGAGGAGAGAGAGATAACTCCAGTTCCAGGGGATCCAACACCCTCTTCTGACCTCTGCAGTCACTGCATGACATGGGAATGAAAAAAAAAAAAAAAAAAAAAAAAAAAAAAAAAAAAAAAAAATTAAAAAAATGGAGCTGGGTGTAGTTCAGTAGTAGACCATGTGCTTAGCATGTGTGAGACTCTGGGTTCCACTGCAAACAGTCAAATGTGTAAATCACAGTACACGGTATAGAAACAGACAGTAGAGTAGGCATAAGCAGCCAGCACCCATCAGGTACAGGTGCTCCATCCCGTGCTGACCTGCCTGTCCTGTCCCTCCTCCCCTGCCCCTGCCAGGGGCAGCTTCTCTTTTGAATCTCTTTCATATTTTGTTTTATTATTGTGTGTTTTATTATTATTGTGATCAGAGGACAACTTTGTGGAGTCAGTTCTCTCCTTCCACCTTGTGTGGGTTCTGGGGATTGAACTCAGGCTGCCAGGCTTGGGACAAGTGCTTTGCCCACTGGATCATCTCACTGGCCCCACACTTACTACTGAAGTTAACGTAAATGGGAGTTATGGTGTGCTCCTCCATCTTCTGCATGACTCTAAAAACTGGTCTCAGTGCATTGTTACAACCTTTAAAAAAAGGTAGGATAAAACCCAGGGTCTTACATGTTAGCCAGGTACCGTACCATTAAAGTGCAACCCCCATTTCCTTAACAATTTTTGGTTTTGTTTCCTTTCAATGAAATGATTCATTCATCCATTCATGTATGTGACAGGGTTTTGTATAGCCAAGGCTGGCCTCAAACTTGTTTATCCTAGCCTTGAGCCATTATCCAAATGATACCTTTCTTAAATTCTTCTGAAGTAACAGTGTTTGATGCTGTCACCTCAGCCCATCTCGTGTTCCCATCTGTCTCTGCAGAATCTGCGAGAGCACTGCTTCTCGCCCACTTTTGTGGCTGTCTCGGCTGTGGCTTCGGTGACCCCCTTCTTTCCCACATTCCTTGATTAAGATGATCCCAAGGTTTAGGGAATGCTAATCAGGGTGTTTTTGGGGGGTGGGGCTTATCAGATATTTTCCTGATAATTATTCTGAGGCGTGATGCATTCTGTAGAGGACCAGAGGGGAACATCACTTGAGACCTCAAGATGATGCCACCACAGAGACAGTATTTAACCTGGTTGTCTGGCTGAGGTAGCGTCTGCAGTCTCCTCTGCTGTCTTCTCCATCCATGCTGCATTGCCTTTGTGGGAGGAACACCACTGAAATGCTGAGCCCACAGAGCAGGATTGATTGCCGCTCTCCACTATTTAACCCCTCATCCTCATCAGCACCCACCTGTTTACACTTGGACTTAGCTTTGGTTCTCTGTAGCTTGGTTAGCTCCCATGTCCCTGGGTTGGCATGCCCCATTTTGGCTGCTCCATTGCATGTTGGGCCCTGCCTTATGTGCTGTCGTGGTCTTCAGGCATGCAGCACAGTCCTCTCAGAACCTGCCATCTACATAGAAACTGGTCTCAGGAAGTCCAAGTTGGAAGCATTTGTGCTGTGTCCCCAGTTGTTAGGGTGATGTGCACTTTGTCCTCAGCTGATGTTATTATTTATTTTTTAGTCTTTTTGAGACAGGGTCTCCCTGTAGCCCCAGCTGTCCTGGAACTATGTAGACCAGGCTGGCCTCGAACTCACAAAGATCGGCCTGCCTCTGCCTCCCAAGTGCTGGGATTAAAGGCGTGTGCCACCATGCCTGGCCTCCTCAGCTGACTGTACCTACAGATGCTCACATCACTGCAACATGTGGAGCTAACTCATCCCATGTCCACTCAGTTTATAACGTGGGCAGTTCTGAGCTCCTGTAGCTTTTGGAACCTGTAGAGACCTGGCTCCTGCCACTCTACCCACTCTTCTATTTACAATCACGGCCAGTTTTGTTTTTAACATGTACTGTGTCTGTGGATGTACATGTTACAGCATATGTACTTCTCTTCCACTATGTAGCATCTGGTCAGGCTTGGTGGCAAGGCTTTACCCTTTGAGGCATCTTGCCAGCCAATATTTTCTTTACTTTCTTTTTGCCCCCAGACAGAGTCTATGTAGCCCTGGCTTGCCTGAAATTGGCTATGTAGGCCAGGTTGGCCTCCCCAGTGTTTTGGCTTCTTGAGGCAGAACTCATTCTGTAGCCGAAGCTGGCCTGGAACTCTCGTGATCCTCCTGTCCTCTGTCCCCCAAGTACTGGGATATGGGCATGTACCACCACACCTGGTTCCCTGAGAGGTGGAGTCAAGCTGCTCTGCATTGAGCCATTTCCTAGGCAGTGTGTTCTGGTGGTACCATTCACTGTTCCTTGTCTTTCTCAAGGGCTGCACAATATTCAATGGTTTTAATGTTCTAGATCTTGTTATTGGCAGCTACCAGATTTCCAGTCCTTTGGAGGCCAGCTGTAGAACAGGAAGCCAGGCATGGTGGCCCAGGCCTGAATGCCAGCACTTGGGGAGTTGGAGGCAGAATCACTTCAAGACCAGGTTCAGCTATAAGCTGACTTTTGAGGCCAGCCTAGGCTACGATATTATCTCTCTAAAAACAAACAGTGACTATTCTTATTTTTCTGAATGCATCTGAGAACTTCATGAAAGTGAAATGGTTTTCAAATGGTATGGATATTTAAGAACAGGAAAGTGGAGGATGGGTGTGGTGCCACTTACCTTTGATCCCAGCAGGAGTAAGAGGCAGGCAGATCTCTGTTAAGATTGAGGCCAGCCTGGTCTACATAGCAAGTTTCAGACTGCTAGGGCCACAGGGAGACCCTGTCTTAAAAAACAACAAAAAACACCCAAGATTTGTGCCATGCATGGTGGCACACTCTGGTAATCACAGTCCTTGGGGAGGCCGAAATGGATTGCTTGAGGCAGGAAGAGAAGCCTGCCTGCAGACCTGGTGTAGTGATTGTTTCTCCATCAAAATTAGTACCAATTATAAGACGTGTCAACTTTGGAAACCACCCAAAATGCTTGATTTTGTAATTAAACTGTACAGGTTGACATCTCTTTCTTATTTACAAATCAGGCTTGTTAAGAATCAGATTTCTGCTGGTGCCCACCTTTAATCCCAGTACATGAGTTTCAGCTATGAAGTGTAATCTTGTCTTAAAAATTAAACCTGAGGCCAGGCGTGGTGGTGCATGCCTTTAATCCCAGCACTTGGGAGGCAGAGGCAGGCGGATCTCTGTGAGTTTGAGGCCAGCCTGGTCTCCATGGTGAATCCAGGACAGCTGGGGCTACAGGGAGACCCTGTCTCAAAAAGATTGAAAAACAAAACAAAACAAAACTACTTTGTGTATCACCTGCGTGTATGTTATACAGTGCACCTGTGTTGTGCAATACACTTGGGGGACAGATACTCTGGAACTGGAGTTCTGGACAATTGTTAGCCACCATGTGAGTGCTGGGATTCAAACCCGGATCTTCTACAAGAACAGTGCTCTTAAACTCTGAGCCATCCCTCCAGTCCCGTGACATGTTTCTTAGTGACGCCTACAAAGCTAGACTAGTACTAGTTGTGATCACTGGGTGTGATTAGTGCTTTGTTAAATGCATCAAAAATATATTTTTTGGGTGTGGTGGTGCATACATTTAATTCTAGCACTTCAGCCTGGTCTACATAGTTCTAGGCCAGAAGAAACCCTGTATTTTTTCCTCCCCTGGACTCTGAAGTATCAAGAAATTCTAATTGCTTCTCAGCCTTCTGGTTATGATTAAGTATAGAATTTTTTTAAAAATATTTGTGTATTGCCTGCACATAGGTAATACTTGCACCCATGTCGTGTGATACCTACAGAGGTCAGAAGGGTCAGATACCATGGAACTGGAGTTAAGGATGGTTGTTAGCTGTCATGTGGGTGGCTGGGAACAGATCCCAGGTCCTCTGCCAGTGCTCTTAACTGCTGAGCCATCCCTCTCTCCAGCCCGTTTTGTATTTTTATGTAGTCAGTATCTCCTCCTTCAAGACTTCAGGTTATGCTTAGAAAGGCCACATTTTCTCCTAGTACTTAAAAAACACCAAAAACCTGAAAGGGGTGGGGCAGTAGGGTATGGTTCAGTGACAAGAGTGCTTTTTGGGGTCCTATCCCCAGCACTGTGCAACAAACACACAAACCTGACTACAGTCCTAAGGAACACCTGTGTACATCTGCACACGATAGGGTTCCTGTGTTTGGTGGGTTCCCATCCTTATATCTGCTGTTCAAAGTCACTGCTGATCTGTTGGCTTCTAATCCAAAATGATCTATATCCTGGTACAAGCACTTTACCTGGGTAGCTGGGGCCTGTACCTGAGACTAGTTGTTTGGTTCTGCTGTTTTTGGTTTTTAGATCCACTGGCCTCTTAGTGCTGCGATTAAATGTGTGCGCCACCATGCCCAGCCTTCTGTTAATTTGATGTGTGGGACATCATGTACTGTACATGATCTCACTGTTCTGCAAACTGGGTGTGAACTGGTACCTGTAGTTCTCTGTGACTTGAATGGGCTCAAAATACTTAGCTTCCTGCAACTATTGATTATGGTAGTTTTGCTTCTCTTCTGAAAATTGTGGTTGGCTCTCTGTATGAGGCTTCCATGGGGTGTCTTCAGTGGACCTGCTGGGCATCTGTGGGCTTCCTAGGTGACATACTGGTAGTTCTCCAAAAGGCTGGTCACTGTCTGCACTCCAATCAGTCCCTGAAACCATATGAGCCTCAGTGCTCATTGCCCTCCTAGAAAATAGCCACCATTACACTGAGTTTATTGTAGAATAGATTTATTTACCTGAAACCATTGTTTGTGCAATGCTTGTTGTTACCAGCACAGAAACAAACAAACAGATTTCTATTTACAGTCTATGGTCAAACATGCGCTGTGATAAATTGGTGCTTAGCACTTTATTAAGATAAATGCATCACAATATTTGTATTGCACCAACATCTGTCTACTGCTTCTGATTTCATTAAATAAGTTACATTGAGTACAGTGTGAAATAGCTATCTGCACACTCAAAAAACAATTGCAGTTATGAACTGAAGGCCTACATCTGTAGTGTTTTAAAAGAATTTACAAATAAGCAAACTGTACAGGGCCAATTAAAAAGCAGCATGTTTCAATGTCACTGTAGAGAAATCTGGCTACTTACAACTGAAGGCATGCATTACAATAGAATAATATACATTTACAGAGGCTATGACACTGCACAGAGAAATATGGAGACTTGGAGGATGGCTTATAAGTTCTTAGATAAGGTTTCAGAACCACATTCTTCTTGCAGCAAAGAATACTAAACTTCTCTGGAGAGGCTTTCTGATTCAATAAGCTAAATTGTACATTTGTAATTATTTTAATAGCTAAAAACCCCACTGGTAATACACATTTCCTCCACATCACACACAATGAGTTGGGAACTTTTATTCTATTTTTTTCCCCAACATCAGTCATGCAGAGGGTTGGTAGATGTGTTTCTAACAACACACATGCACGCAACTGAACACCCTTACATTTCTGCAAAATGGTTTAGGAAGCGGTTACTCCAGTATTGCTGAAAAGGAAAGAGAGAGGAAATCAGCTTCATGAAACATGGAGAATGTTAGAATAACCTCCTAAGACTCAGAACAATAGTGACAGATGGAAGAGAATGCTGAGCTTGGTCAAGATCACAAGAACAGCATTTCTAACTAACTGCTCCTGAGGGCAGTGCCCACACAGTCACACCTAGAAGCTGGCTTGGTGACTGCCCTCATGCTGTCTACCTATACAGCAAAGATCACCCCTGACTCATAGGAAGGTTTAATGAGGCAGTAACTTGAAAGCATGTCAGGTATGAGGGTGGTGATAGCAGCCAGAGATGATCTTGGTTAGTCATGCAGAGGGTGAGGCAGGTGGAGCAAAGTGAGTGGCATGGTGCCAAGAAGGTCTTCCCATTCCCTCCTGGTCCTGCAAGGTGGCCAGTCCTGGGTTGCAGGCTCAGCTCTGCCTGAAAGGCAAATGAACATGCCCTGGCTTCCCTCTCAGTAAAGGCAACAGTAACTGCAAGGGGCTGATTTTGGTGGAATTTGGTGGTTGATGATGACAAAGGGCAACCATGCCTTTTGGGCTCAGTGCTGGGCTATGGGCAGCACTGGTATTTGGCAGACATGAAGCCAGTGCTGTAGTCTGCAGCATTCCTAGGGTCTGTCCATTGTCAGTGGGCTGAGGCCCTAGTTTGAGGGTGCTTGCTGTGTAGCAGCTGCTGTGAAGTGGCCGGCCAGTTCCTACCCTTGGTAGCTTCCCTAGCTTGCTGGGGAATGCATCACCTGCACTTTGCAGAGTGGGCTGTGGGATTGGATCCAGGGTACAACTGCATGGAGGAAGCCATTCAGGAAAACTTAGGGCTGAGTTTTAGGTTAGAGCTGCCTTTTACCAGGTGGTGATGCCAATGCCCGTCTATGTATTGTTGTCACTTCTTAAGGGTGCTAGGTGAGGGTGAGGCTGAGCACCTGCAGACAGAGGCCTGTAGCTGGGCCATGCTGTTGACACTGGTCTGTGTGGGCTAGAGATGGAGGTGCTGAAATGCCGTCAACTGACCTTACATGTGCCAGAGGGACCAAGTGATCCTATTCAAGGCAGCAATTGATCTAGCCAGCTCCACCTCTTTGTGTTGAGGAAGTGGGTGCCCAAATAGCCTTGATGGGCTTCAAGGACCCAAGGCTGATAAACCACAAGGCTGCAACTAGCCCAGGGCCACTGGGGATAAGAACTCCTCCTCCAGTGGCCCACTTATTTGTGGAGGTCACTAAATAAGGAACTGAGACAGGAAATGCTAATGGGTCAGTTTCTTCCATTGCATAGTCTATCACTCAACACCCCAATATCCTATTTTAGTCTGTAGCTCAGAAGTTAGTGTTTGACCCACTCAAAATTAATACTTCCTAGCATCCAAAAATAGCAAAACCTGCCCCTTACTCTGCTGGACAAACTTATCTGCTTTCTGGGAGCCACTGGTCCTTGTAAGCAGTCTTAGAGGTCTGACAGTGAGACCACCAGACTGCTTTCAAAGATCAGTTGCCTCTTTCCACCTCCAGCCCTGAAGGTGTGGCACTCTAAACCCAGCACTTTCTTCTGCCTGACGTATGCAACTTCTGGAGTGAGCAGCCCAGGCGACCTCACACCAGCTGCTGGTTAAGAAGGGGCTTAGCGGAACCATGTCCTAAAATACTTCATCATATATTCTTGGTGAAAAAAGGGAACCTGTATCAGTTCTTGGCTTTACTAGCTTCCAACAGTTAATGAAGAACCAAAGATCCAAAGTCCTGTGGCATGCTGTGTGAGGTCTCAGTCTGACTGGTACCAGAGGTACAGCTGCTTCAGCCTGAGGTCAAGGAGATCACAGCAGTCCCATCTCCACGGCTCACAGAATCACTGTCCTGGTAAATGTGGTATCTACAGGAAGTCTCTTGTCACCAGGCAGCTGACACTCCCCATCTCCTCAGGAGGAGGTACCTGGTGGGTACAGCAAACACACCCTTTCCCTCACTGTACACAGGAGCATGCTGCACACTAGCTGTAGGGGCCATCTCAATTCAGTGGCATCATCTTTACAGAGGCCAAAGCATCCCAATTTCATGAAGGAAGATACTCACGTTAGTTGATGGATGTTGGAAGGCATTGGAGGAAAACACCACAGTTAGGACTGTTAATGCCTCACACTGCCGTTAAGACTGACCTTGAACATGCGCAAACGTTCATCAGAGTCGTGGTGGTTAGTGCCACAGTCAAATAAAAATAGTTCTATACAATATGTTCATTTGGTCATGTGCTATTTACAGATTTTACAAAACACATACACGCACATACACACACACACTTGCCCTCACATTCCTTAGACCAGGCTACATACAATAGGCCAGCAGAAACTTGCATAAATGTGTATCACGGATGGCAATTCATGCCTGTACATTAAAAACAAAATCCCTATGACTCCCTATGCAGCAGAACAGGACCCTTCCTCCCCTCAAGAATAGGAAGCTAAGATTCTGAGCTGAGAAACTCAGAAATATGAACTGATTATTAGATAGCTCAAGGTAAGCCAGTTAAGAACAAGACAGTTATTTTTCTCTGTCCATTTAAAATGTTTTATTTTTCTTTTAAACTAGATTGTGAAGTGCCACTCAAATAGGCAATGTTGGCCAAACAATGTCTGTTACAATAAAATACATTAGACATTTAAATAAATAACCTTAAAAACTAGGTGAAGGACAGAAAAAGAAACCCAGTCCATCTGAATCTGGAACAATGTTTTCTGCACAAGCGAGAACAGGCATACCTCTCATGAAGACAGATGTAAACAGAACCATCAGACCTATAGAAGAAGCTGAGCGGGCCAGGGTGGGCTGGGGGTGAACAGAGGCTGAGGGTGTGGGAAGTGGCAAACCAAAAATACTGACTGAGGTAGCAGGACTCTGCTCAGTGCAGAAAAATTGGCTTATGAATAAAAATTAGACTGTGATATCAAATTAAATCCAGATAATCATGCAAAAGACACAATACATGCTATTTAGTCTTTTAAAAAACCACACACATTCATTTCCTAAAGTCTGCTTCCAATTAATTTGCTGACAATGTCTGCTGGCTCAACCATTTTGTACAAGTATGAGTATTAAACAGAACACTGTACATGCTTTTTCATCTACAAAAAAATATCTGCATAAAATAGTGTTAGTTCTCTGTACATGTCAATGGACACTTTAATTATGTGTATAAAAAAGGAAAATTTTGTCCCACTGGAGTCAGAAAAAGCAAAACAAAATCTAGAGTATGAAATCTCCTTCACCAGCCAGTATGTTCATGTGAAAATTCAGCAGAAATAGACAGTTGCTTTAAACAATAAAAAATTAATTAAGTTAAACATCTTCTGTATGTAGCGCTGTCAGTCAAGACCAGAACATATCACTAAAGTTAGTGTCTGTGCTGTAGACCCAGACCACCAGGGGCATAATGAGCAGCACAAACGGCCAGGAAATGCCATCGGTGCATGCTGAAAACGAGCAGGAGGATTTGGTGGCAGGCTGTACACACTCTTTACCGGGTTCCAGGTAGTTCCGGGCCACAAACTTGAGGGTCTCATCCATGAGGATCACAGGCAAGGAGATTTTCAGCACCATCAGCCATTGGGTCAAATTCAGTGGTGTGATCTGGAAGATGAGCTAAGACAAAGAAGGCCATGTCAAGTTTCTAGACCTGCCAGAGGAGCAGTACCAGCCCTTACCCAGAGGCCCACGATGACTCACTGGCAAGGGTTCTACATAGAGGATCAGGAAGTGGAGCGACATGGACAAGCAGATGGAGCCCACAAGCCAGATATTCTCCCAAGGAGGCATCCTCAGCAAGGACTGGTTTTCAGACAAGCTACAGGTGAGAAAAAGGGAGGTGAATTCACAGAAAGCAATGGTTCAAACCTCAGTGACAAAGACTGGGCTGGCCTATGCTTTAGTAAGGCAGCTCTGGCATCATTCATTGACCTAATTCTAGGGCCTGAATTTTCCACAGCTAGGTCAGATGTAGGACAAACTGCCATCTTACATCTAAGCTCGAGTGTAGCAGATTCCATCTTGGCAGGCTCAAATTTGCTCTCAATTGCCATAGAGAGAGATTTGGAAATTTCCATTTTTGTCGGTGGCTTAACTGGATGATACAGTTTGTCCAAGCTAAAGGGCAAGCACCCTCTCTCCCTGTGGTGCTAGAACATCAGGAGGGGGGATTGATAGCCCTATTTTTGTTCTCTGCTGTTTCTTTTCAGGAACATGTGACAGAGAACTCCTACTGCTTCTTGGGGGTAACAACAGCTTTGACATTTAAAACTGGTGATGCTTGTCTTTTCTCTGGGAGAGAAGGGTGTTCCTGTGACCTTCCATCAGCTATGATCCTCACCCTGGTGGCCTGAGTTTTTGCCTAGGCCTACTGCAAGACTCACTAACCTGTTGAGGGCATTACACATCTCTATGGTTACTAGAACAGAAAGTGCCATTGTCATTGGGTACGGAGACTCAAAGATTGCACAATCCACTCCATCAAAGTCTGGGTTGTCCTCTTTACACTGTAGGAAATGACTCTGCAACAAAAGTCCAAACGCATACCCTATTAGCCAGGCATACTTCTCAAATCCAGGCACCAAGTCTAGCCCCCAACAAGAATGCTAGGATTTATCCCCTAGGTCCCATAGAAATCCTAGGCCTCAGTGTCCTCTGTCACAACTGTTTATTGTTTGAGCCCAAAGATTATGGGACAGGCTTCCAAACTTCAAAAAGACCAAGGGTTCACATTTTATTCTACAACAACACCACCACACCAACTCTAGTGGCTACATACCAGCTGGTAGAAGGACACTCTTGGACCACCATCAGCAGCAATGAACCACCATGCAGCAGCACCCACAGTGGCAGCACCAACATAACCTGGGAAATAAACAAGACTCTGTTGACACACCTGAAATTGCAGACAGTACTGCTCATTGCAGGTGATACCACATGGGCCAGTGTAGTTGATCACAAGGTTCCAGAAGGACAGGACAGTGCTGGTATAATGGAGCTAGGCATTATTTCCTTTATTATGAAAGGAAAAGTTCCTGCTGAATCCTGCTCAGACTCTGTACAAGGTGCCAGAGCTAAACAGCAAGTGCAAGCTTCAAGGTTACAGGTATATGTGTACTCACATTAAGAACGCACAAGGCAGGGGGAACAGTCACACAAACTAGGTAAACTTATGTGACCTTATTAGATACTATTGTATCTTGTTTGTTATGTTAAAGGCCCAGTAGAACCATTCCACGAAATGCCATTATAGCACACATCCCTCTGCAGGGCCGGAGGCCTTTTCTCAAAAACTCTGAGGAAGTTTATTACAAAAAAGCAACAAGGAGAGATAGTCTACCCCATGTGGTAGCATCTACCCAACCCAACATACATTTTCTACCCTGGGAATTAAATATGGATTAGGAGCTGGGCGTGGTGGCGCATGCCTTTAATCCTAGCACTCGGGAGGCAGAGGCAGGTGGAACTCTTTGAGTTCCAGGCCAGCCTGGTCTACATGGTGAGTTCCAGGCCAGCTAGGGCAACAGAGAGACTCTGTTCTCAAAAAGACCCCCCCAAAAAAAAAAACCCCACAACAAAAAACAAACAAACAAAAAGGTAGATTAGGGCACTGATTACAAGGCGGAGGGAGCCCTGTATGTACTGACGTGGAACTCTCTCAGGCTGTCAGAAATAAAGACAAATGTAATCATCTCAGGGAACAGGGAAAGAGCAGCAAGCAGGGGGAATCAGACATCTTTTATAGGCAGTTGGGTGGTTGGGTAACTTTTCATGATGTAGGCTAGGCAGTTCAACTCAGGACTGGTTGGTCTCCCAACAAGAAGAGGGACATGCCTGGGGCTAAGTTCGAACCTGCATTTTAGAACCATCTTTAAGGTTTCATCTTACCCCAGTCAGAATGACTAGGATCAAGAGAACAAATGATACCAAATGCTGCCGACGATGTGGAGAAAGGGGAATGCTCATTCACTGCTAGTGGGATTGCAAACTTGTGCAACTCCTATGGAAAAGAGTGTGGAGAACTCTTATAAAACTTAGTCTACTATATGACCAAGTTATACCACTCCTTGGCATATACCCAAAGGACTCATCCTATTATAGAGACACTTGTATAATCATGTTTGTTGCTCTTTTCACAGTAGTTAAGAGATGGGAGGCAACCCAAGTGTCCCTCAACTGACGAGTGGTTAACGAAAATGTGGAATATTTATACAATGGAGTTCTATTCAGCAGTAAAGATGAAATAATAAAATTTGCAGGTAAGTGGATGGATCTAGAAACTGTTATACTAAGTTAAGTAACACAGACTCAGAAAAGCAACAGATCTATGTTCTCCCTCATCTGTGGATCCTAATACCAAATCTTTTTAAGTGAGCGCATATCCTGATGGAACTGCAAGGACCACGAGTATGAAGGAAAAAGGGAAAGAAGGAAGCGGAGAGAAAATAGTAAGATAAAGGTGTTATTAAGGGAGAAATATGTAAAAGGGGGTGGGAAGGAGGACTATACAAAAAACTATGGGAATGAAGGGGAAAAAAAATTCTCCAGATACACAGTTCAGGGAAAAAAAAAAAAGCCTTAAGCACAGAAGGGGATGGAAGAAAGCCCTTCCAAAAGCAATAGAGTTGTTAAATGAAAACCCCAGTGCCAGAGGTGGTTACCCCCATGAGCTGTTGGCCTGAGGGACACTAGAGGTCCCCAAAACAATAAAGGCCATTGCCAATAATGTTGGTTGTGCATTGGCAGTGGACGGAAAAACCCTATTGCTGAAGACACTGTATGATGTGAACATGGGAGAGGGAAAAATCAAACTTGGACTAAGTTGGAAACTCCCTGCCACTGGATGGGTGGCTTTCATGGTACCAAAAGGCAACATGCAGATAATTCTCCTCAATGACGGACCCCATGTGTTACATTACTAACATATAAAACAAGATGTTCCTGCTGGTGCAATAGAGGAACATCTAGTGTTATGTACAACCAGCAAATTTTTCAATTGGATATAATGCCCACTCTGAGGAGTGTAACACACACACACACACACACACACACACACATCTGGTACTGTGATCTGGCCAACCCCATACGGCAGGGGTGAATATAGGCCCCAGTGGGAAGTCACTACAATTGCTTTGTTAGATGGAAATGATGCACCTGCTAAAATACCAAACAAGCATTTGTGTTTATACCCATAGGTTAAGTTGTTATAGCAGTCACTGGTTGGTCTCACTTCTTGCTGTGTGTGTTTTTATAGTAGATGGATGGAATCCCACTCAAACTGACCAACAGCCCATGGAAAACAGATGATGCAGACAACTGAAAGCTTTACCTTGCCACGAAGGGAGGAAGATTACCCCACACCTACACCCCCTTCCAAGGCTCAGGGACTTTTGTGGAAGACGTTGGCAGAAAGAATGTATGAGCCAGAGAAAGGGGTAGAGTGTTAACTGGAAATGTCCTCTGACCACTATGACGGCAAGCTATGGTCATACCTCCTTCCCAAGCTCATCAAGGAATCCAGGGAAGAGGAGTCAGTTACCCCTCCCACCCCATCAGTCGATCCTGGTTGCATGTGAGGGGAGGGGCAAAGGATATATAAGCTGAGATCACCAAGAGGCACCTCTCTCAATTTTGTGCGGCTTTCGGGAGGTCACAGGATCCGTATCCGATTGTGGATTTTATGGTATAGCCGTAAATGTGGGGCTCCCACTCTTTTGTAAATAAACCACTACCCTATGCCGTTAAAAAATAAAATTAAAAAACAAAAACAAGCTGAGTGTGGTGGTGTACACCTTTAATCCCAGCACTTGGGAGGCAGAGATAGGCGGATCTCTGTGAGTTCAAGGCCAGCTTGGTCTACATAGTGCATTCCAGGACAGCTGGGGGAGACCCTGTCTCAAAAAGACCAAAAACAAACAAATAAACAACCAAACCCGTCTATACTCACAGCCAATAGCTAAGTAACGGAAAAAGAGCCATCCACTGATGAGCGGTTCCTTCGGGTTCCGGGGAGGTTTATTCATGATGTCCAGGTCCGGAGGGTTGAACCCCAGAGCAGTGGCAGGCAGACCATCTGTCACCAGGTTGACCCAGAGTAGTTGGACAGGAATTAAAGCCTCAGGAAATCCAAGAGCTGCTGTCAGGAAAATACTGTTTCCATCCAAGGGAAGAAAAGAAAGAAGCCAGTGATTTTGGTGAACTACTTAAAAACTCCTTCCTCTATATAATCAATCATGTCCACCTGGTGTAACATATAAAAGAATATATACTCCATCACAGTTCAAATTAAACTTGAAGAGGGCCAAAATCTGTGCAACACTAAATTACATAAACTAATTTCTATGTTAAAGATTATACTCTGCACACTGGGACATATATAATTATGTCCACCTGGTGTAACATATTAAAGAACATATACTCCATTACAGTTCAAATTAAACTTGAAAAGGGCCAAAATCTGTGCAACATTAAATTACATAAACTAATTTCTATGTTAAAGATTATACTCTGCACACTGGGACAGCTGCAGATAAGCCTTGAGAGACCTAAGTGAAGGATCCGTGTCCCCCAACTCAGGCATAACCACCAGCCACGGTGGGAACAGCAGCATTCAGAAACTCACCAGACAACCTCCCCGACGTTGGATGAGATGAGGTATCGGATAAACTGCTTCATGTTGTTGTAGATGGCTCGCCCCTCCTCGACAGCTGCCACAATGGTGGAGAAGTTGTCATCTGCCAGGACCATCTCTGAGGCAGTTTTAGCCACTGCAGTGCCAGAACCCATGGCAATGCCAATCTCAGATTTCTTCAAGGCAGGAGCATCATTCACACCATCACCAGTCTGAAAGGGAAAGCCACAGCTGGTTCAGACACTTGATGTGGCACACCTCTGGGCAGAGCTACACAGATAAGCAGAAGGAAATGAGACAGAGAAGGTAGGGCTGGTGTTGAACACATTTAACATGGAAATATGCTGTCTCAAATGAACACCTTTTTTTCTCCTTTTTTGGTCTTTCTGAGACAGGGTCTCCCTGTAGCTCCAGCTGACCTGGAACTCACTATGTAGACCAGGCTGGCCTTGAACTCACAGAGATCTGCCTGCCTCTGCCTCCCAAGTGCTGGGATTAAAGGTGTGTGCCACCATGCCTAGTTTATTTATTTATTTTTTTTTTTAAAAAAAGAAAGGTCTTACTCTCTGGCCCAGGCTAGCCTAAGCCAGGATTACAGGTCTAGATGGATCTGCTGTTTCTGCCATATTAACCACTCCTGTGCCCAAACTTACCATAGCTGTGATCTCATCAAAGGACTGAAGGAACTCGACAATTTTAGATTTGTGGGAAGGTTCAACTCGAGCAAAACAGCGGGCGTTCAAGCAGGCATCTCTCTGGGCTGAGGGACTGAGCTCATCAAATTCCCGCCCTGTAAAAGCCTTTGATGTCACATCCTCATCCTGCCCAAAGATACCAATGCGACGACAGATGGCCACAGCAGTGCCCTTGTTGTCCCCTGTGATCATGATGACACGGATGCCTGCTTGACGGCACAGCTTCACAGAGGAGGCCACTTCGATTCTGGGAGGATCCAGCATGCCCACACAGCCAACGAATGTCAGATTGGTCTAAAGAAAGAGATCACTTTGAGTTCCAACAGGAACTTCTGTCCCTCCCCATCTGATTAATGGCCACTTTTGCTAGTACTATTTGTCACTTTTTCTGCTTGCCCTTGACACAGGATCTCATTATGTAGTCCTGAAATTTGCAGCAGTCTTCCTGCCTCAGCTTCCTAAGAGTTGGATTTACAGACACGTGCCTCCACTATGGAGCTGGGGATTGAACCTTAGCCCTTGCTCATGCCAAGCAGGTGTTCCATCACTAAACTACACTCCCAATATTTTCTTAAGACAACATATCTTTGTTACAGAGTCATCCTAGTTTAAAATTCTCACATTTTGAAAGAAAAATCTCAGATGGAGGAAAACAACAACAAAAAACCACACTGAAGATTAAGAGCATTTTGAGATTGGCAACATCAGTGGCCCACAGTATCACACTCTTCCATTCAATCTTTAGGCTGTCACAACTCTGATATTGGGGGGAGGTGGGAGGGGGGTTGGTCAAAGGAGATGTCAAACTTGTCAACTTCACACAAACTAGAGTCACCTGGGAAGGGGGAACCTCAATTGAGGAATGTCCTCCATCAGACTGCCAATTGCTGTATCTATGAGGGATTTTCTTAATTGCTAATTAATGTGGAAGCACCCAGTTCACTGTGGGGGCGGTGTCATCCCTGGGCAAGTGGAACTGGGCTGTATAGAAAGTAGCTAAGCAAGCTAGGGGGAAGTCAGTCAGAAAGTAGCATTCCTCCATGGTCTCTGCTAGTTTGTCTCCAAGTTCCTGTCCTAACTTCCTTCAGTGATGTGTCTTGAAGTGCAAGATGTAATAAACCTTTTCCTCCCCAAGTTGTTTTTGGTCAGAGAGTTTATCACTGCAATAGAAAGCAAACAAACAAGAGGAAAGTGGAAATCTCTCAACGTGGTTTTTTTTTTTTTTTTTGGTTTTTTTTGAGACAGGGCCCCCCGGTACCCCCAGCTGGCCTTGAACTCACAGAGATCCGCCTGCCTCTGCCTCCCAAGTGCTCAGCATGTATTTTTATCACTAATATCTACTGGGTGCTTTTCAAAAAATCTTAAGTCATGCTTAGCACTTGAGAGGCAGAAGCAGGCAGATCTTTGTGAGTTCAAGGCCAGTCTGGTCTACATGGTGAGTTCCAGGACAGCTGGGGCTACAGGGAGACCCTGTCTCAAAAAAGACAAAAAAATAAAATCTTAGTTACAATAATTTACATGCTTATTTGCACTTGTCTTGTTTAGTCTACTTTGAAAGCAGCAAACTTATGGCTTATGGAAAAACAACTGTATCTAGCAAGGACACATGCTCTTCCACTGGAAGCAGCACTGGCTGGACCAGTGAGTGTACAGGATGTGGATGGGAAACTCCAGCTACCTCATATTTGATGAAGTTGGCGGAATCCTCCAGGTGCATCTCCTCTCTCCTTAGTGGGTTGTCATGAGTGGCGAGAGCCAGGCATCGCAGTGTGTCACTACCACTGCCCCACTCCCGAATGACAGACATGATCTTCTGTTTGACACCAGGGGTCATGGGGACCTTTGTACTTCCAACTCGAATGTGGGTACACCTGTCGATGACACCTTCAGGAGCACCCTGGGAATGTAACAGACTTAGATCAGCAATTGCACTGGCTGGCGTACCTGGTAAAGAACGTTTTGATTTGTGCAACTTGCCTTCACAAACATCTTGCTCATGGATGTCCTGCTTGGCTTGTTTGGTGTACAATAGACTGACATTGATTTTCTATCTCGTGAAAACTCCAGAGTAAACTCCTTTTTCATCAATTGTTTGATGACCTGTAAGGAGACCAATGATACTAATACTGTTGATTCCCATCTGCACACTTTCCACTTGCTCAATAATACTCACTAGGCACCCACTGTATGACAGGCCCTGCCTGTTTGTGTCAAAGAGATTATGCCTGTTGTTTGGGAACAGAGCAGCATAAACAAGAAAGCAAGTTCTTACCCTCATAAAACTTGTCCTCTAGTTTGGGAATAGATTAGAATGTTAAAGGAAGATGCATGAAGTGCCATAGAGAAAAAAAAATTAGGCCGGAAAGGGAACAGAAAACACAGGTTATAATGCATAGTTAGGTGGCAAAAAGTTTAAATACCTAAATGGTAGATGGTGGCCAAGAGATCTAACAGACACAGAATGGCCATGCAATTGGGATGGTTCTGGCAGGGTGATGGAGCTTCCATTGTTTATACGGGTTTTGGGGGATAGGTCATAGGGTCTCAAAGATCACTACAGAGCATCTGGTAACAGTGAAATAAGATGACACCAGAGGGCTTTAAACACTAACTGTAAGAATTTTCTGAAGCAGCCAGTGTGGTACTACAAGTCTATAGTTCCAGCACTTGGGAGGGTAAAGCAAGATCAGGTTCAAGTCTTGTCTTGCTGCTACATAGTGAGAACCCACCTGAAAACAAAGAATGTTCTAAAAGGAGACATGGAACATCATTTAATACAATGACAGTAAGTTGATCAGCCCACTGGCACTGTATGTTCAGAACTCTGTAATAAGCTGTTGTTCTGTAAGTGCAGATCACATGACTGTCTTAGTCGGCTGCTTCAAAACATTACTTAAAACTCATAGAACCAGAGACGGCCTGGGAGTATGAGAGACAGAAATGGCAAAGGACTAGGAATAGCTTTTTCCTATTCTTTCTTCAGATAGAAACTTAAAGCATTAATTTCGAATTTTGTTTGGTTAAATAAGTAACCCAGGTTGGCCTTGAACTCAAGAATATTGGGACTACAGACTGGAGAGATGGCTCAGCGATTATTGAGTATTGGCTGCTCTTTCAGAGAACCTGGGTTCAATTCCCAGCACCCACATGGTAGCTAACAATTGTCCATAACTCTAGCTCCAGGTGATCTGATGCCTTATATACACATTAAAAAAAAATAGCATTATAGGTGTATGAGTTTTATTTTCTATTGCTGTAACAAAATGCCCTGACAAAAGCAACTTAAGGGAGAAAGGGTTTATTTGGCTCATAACTGCAAGTTGCAGTGGCAGGAGTTGACCATAGTTTAGGACTTCCTCCTAGGGAATGGTGTCACCCACAGTGAGCAGTTCTTCCCTTACCTCAAGATAATCTCTGACAGGCTAACCAAACCTGACAATTCCAACTGAGGACTCCCTTCCCAGGTGATTAAGACTGCATCAAGTTGACAATTAAAACTAACCACAATACACATGCTGCTGTTTTTTTTTTTTTTTTTTTTTTAAATCTATTGTTAATTGAAATAATCAAAACAAATGAATAAAATATATTAAATAACTAGTTTCTAGTTAGTATCTAACAATAAAGAGATCTGTTGGAAGATGGGGAGCAATTAGTCTATTGTGATTTCATTCCTTGTAATTTGTGTGATTCAAGGAGTTAACAGTACCATCTACTCTGTGAATGATTTATATGCATTTTAAAAATGGAAAAAAGTAACATAACAAATACAATTTTGGTGGCAAATATTCACTGTTGCTCGAATGTTTTGAATCATTGATGATTTTTTTTTCCATCTGAGAAATCATTAGGTTGACTTTCTGAAACATGTTAAGTAATCTTTTAGGCACTGACATGAATAATATGCCCAGTGAATTTAGCACAAGGTCATAGGTGACTCACAAGAGGTTTTGATGTACTGATGGAGGCCAAGAGCTTGACAGGAACAGATTTGAAGAAATAAACGAAATTGGATAATAGTTCTTTGCAAAAGTCAAAGAAATGGGGCACCAAACATTTTTTTTGGAGGGGGGTTAATAAGACAGGGTCTCCCTGTAGCATCAATCTGAGATTCACCTGCTTCTGCCTTCTGAGTGCTGGGACTAAAGGTGTGCACCACCACACCTTGTTTCAAAGAGCAGTTTTAAGTTTTTTTTTTTTTTTTAATCCCCTATACAGCTAATGAAGATCTAGTAGAGACAGAAACTGAAATGAGGGTAGAGATGGTGCAGAGGGGCTTACTTTTGGCAGGACCAAGGACAGTTCTCTCAGCACAGGAGAGAGAAAGCAGCCCCTGTGACAAATCACTACTAAATACCAGCCCCAATCCCGAGTGCTGGGAATACAGGCATGGGTGATCACTTTAAGACCTCACAGTGCCTATCAGGAAGGAAATGTTAGTTTGAAGACCTAAGGTTCAAAACGGTGAGATAACAGAAGAGACTGAATGACTATATGGTAAATGGCTGATGGGACACATGAACAATACAACAAGCTCATACTGACCGAGTTGCAGGCATTTGCACGTTCTATTTTAGAAAGCCCTTTTAATTCCGTATCAAATACATTCATCTTCTCTACCAAGCAGGTGAGAGCAGTCTCTGTAGCTTCTCCAACTTTTTCATACACACCCTTTGCCTGCATTGTTTCAAGATGGGAAAAGGGGAATAAGAAGTCAACAGGTAAATGACAATATTTTTTCCACAGGACAACCTTCCCACCCCTAAAATCCCAACTCTGTGGGCCATTTGTATCATACTGTACAGATGACTCACATAATTAAAATATACAAGGTACAACCATGAAATATTACAATAAATCTAGTAATCAGCTTTTTCATTGCCCTTTAGATATTTAAAATTATTTGTTTTACTCTTCAGAATGTTTTCAAATGGTATGTCATCATTTATTATTCTGATGAGTTAGCATTCTCTGGCCTTTAAAGAGAGAAAACAAATGATTTATTCCACTATTTTAAAAAGAAAAGTTTTTGCTTGGTTAAAGTTTATCATTTTATCTTCATGACTGGAACAATTCCCTAGGCCTGATTGTCTTCAAGGATATATGGCAACCCATCTTTAAAAGCACAATCAATACCTTACAACTCCTAGGAAGACCTCTTCTAAACTGAGCTTTGTTCATTTATAGTAATGATGACCATCATTAGTCAAGAACATCCCAGTACATGACAATCTTAGTAAAGCAGTAACAGGGCTTAGCCTCAGATCTATGAAAGGCATATGGCTTTCTTCAGCCAGGCCACAATGGCCCCTACAGGGACAGGTTCTTAAAATCAGGAACCTCCATTCAAAAGGGAGGAAGACTGATTTTTATTTCACTCACCCAACCCTTGAGTGCCTTACCTCATTGTAATCCAAAGCAGAGTCATTACAAAGGGCACAGATTGTTGCTAATTCTACAAGACCATCATACTGATGACATTTCACTGGCTTATCATCTTTATGCCTATCAAAAGAGAAAACATTCTTGGGTCACAGTTTGTTTCAATTAAAAAAAAATTCTTTAAACATTTCTTTTGTATGTATGTATAGGTATGGAGGAGGTCAAAGGAAAATTTGTAGGATTGGGTTTTCTTCTACCACTTACGTTCTAGGAATCAAACACTGTCAGGCTTGCAGGGAAAGTGCTTTTCAGCTTCCCCTGTGTTTTTGTCTGTTTATTTGTTTCAACTGTCCTGAAACTCAATCTCACACAGAGATTCTCCTGCCTTTTCTGCATCTGGGATTAAAAGTGTGTGCCTTCATGCCTGGCTTCTTATTTTTGGATCTCATTATGTAGCTCAGGCTGGCCTTTTATTCTTTTTCCTCTTTTCTCCACCTTCCAATTTCTAGAATGACAGGTATGTACTAGCATTAATCCTTCCCCCTCAATAATGAAAACAATTTGGGAGAGAACTCCTTTCCCCTGGTATAAGGAGAACAAAACAGAAACCTCACCAGAAAATCTGGGCTCCAAAAGGGAATCAAAGAAAGACCTGTAAATTTTTTTTTTTTTTTTTTGTCTTTTTGAAGCAGGGTCTCCTTGTGGCCCCCAGCTGTCCTGGAACTCACTATGTAGACCAGGCTGGCCTTGAACTCACAGAGATCAAGTGCTGGGATTACAGGCATGCACCACCACGCCTGGCAGTAAATTTTGTTTTTTAAAATGTACTCCTGTAAAAAAAAATGCATTGCCTTCAGCCATATTCAGAAAGCCATCTTACTATTTTATTTATTTTTGGTATTTTTGAGATGGTTTTTATGCAACGCAGACTGGCCTTGAATTTTCTATGTAGCCAGGGCTGGCTGTGAACTCCTGGTCTTCCTGCTTCCATAGTAGGTGCCACCCCACTCGACTATTCAGTTAGTGGTTGCTGGAGATTCAACCCTGGTTGAACGCCAGGCAAGCACTCTACCATTAAGTCACATCTTGATCTATTCCTTATAAATCAAACACTACAATGCCAAGAGATTCTATACATGATGAAAGTTACTCACACTTCTCCAATGGGTGCATATGTTGATCCAGTTATGGTAAACTCATTAAGGGAACAAGTATCACCTTCAACTTTGTCCAGAATGAACATCTGTAAGGAAACAGAGCATAAAGTATTTAAAAAAAATGTTAAAAAAAAAAAAAAAAATCCCAGCATAGACATGGGGAAGCAGGTAAGAAATTCCAACCCAACCAAAGAAACTTTTGGCAACCAATGGCTGCTGGGGGGGAGTCTCTTGCAGGTACTGGATTCTTGGTGGGTTGACGAGTCTCCAGTGGATGAATGGTCCCATGCTGAGGGACATAAATAATACCTATAGGCTATATTGTATATATAGTGGAGTATACTGAATTGGGGTAGTGGGGGTAGGTTTGGATGGGAAAGGGCATCTAAATACCATCAAAATTATCAATTATATTGCATGAAAAAAATGGCAAAAATTTCAATAAAAATTAAAAAGAAAATAGCATTATAGATGCTAAATCAGAATTTAGCAATAGTGGAAAAAGACACAGGAGATAACCCAGAAAGACTTCGGGTACTTTTTAAGGATTCTCAGAATTTTAAATTTTAAGTAGCTGAGAAAGTAGAATATACTTAATTAAGTATATACTTAAGTATTCTTGCTTTAGAGCCAGGCAGAAAAGTTTAGAAAGAATAAATTCACATTCAGAGATACATAAACACCCCTTCAAGACAATAATAAACTGGTATTTTTAAGATAATACAGCTCTAAGCATGCTTAGGCAAAGCGTGTTCTCTCTCTCCCCACCCAATGCTACTGATGAAACCCAGGGCTTGAGCTGCCAACACCAACCTTCTAGCACTACAAGAGCTACTTTCTTTTTATGTGTGTGGTGTTTTTGAGACTGGGTCTCCCTGTAGCCCTAGCTGGCCTCAGTCTCACAGAGATCTGCTTGCCCCTGCCTTCCAAGTGCTGGGATTAAAGGCATGCCTCACTACACCCAGCCACAGCCATCAGCTACTTTCTTAATGATGATTGTTTTCACAATATAGTTTAGAAACTCAGTTTGGAAGAGTAAGATTTAGACCTTTATTTTCATTGCAAACTGAAACTATAAAACTGCTTCCTTAAAAAACAAACCATAGGGGCTGGAGAGATGGCTCAGAAGTTTTAAGAATACTGGTTGTTCTTACAGGAGACCCAGTTTCAAATCCCAGCATCCACATGGCAGCTCCTAACTCCAGTCCCAGGGGATCTGACAGCCTCTTCTGACCTGTACAGGTGCACTTACCTACATGCAGGCAGTACACTCATACACATTAAAAAAATAAGTAAGGGCCAGGTGTGGTGGCACACGCCTTTAATCCTACATGCCTTTGATCCCAGCAAACTGGAGGCAGAGGCAGAGGCTGGCGGATCTCTGTGAGTTCAAGGCCAGCCTGGTCTACATAGTAAGTTCCAGGACAGCTGGGGCTACAGGGAGACCCTGTCTCAAAAAGACCAAAAAAAGAAAAAGATTAATTTTTATTTTGTTCATTCACTGAAGTGTTTACCTGCATGTATATATGATACACAGTGTGCTTGGCACTCTTGAGTTATGTGCCTTTTGAACAATAATAGTTGTTTGACATGTATCAAGGTGATGAATATGCTGAAGGAAAATCTAGGAACAGTAATTTTTTTTCTTGCATTTTTGAGAGAGGGTCTTCCTGTAAGCCCTAGCAGGCCAGGAATTCCCTCAATCTCACAGAGATCAGCCCGCCTCTGCCTCCAGTTTGCTGGGATCAAAGGCATGTATCACCATGTCTAGCTGGGTTTTTTTTTTTTTTTTTGAAACAGGGTGTTAAACACTTAACTGGAACAGAAGGATACTTTAGTAGCCTAAACTAAATTATAGAAAGAACTTACCTTTTACCATGACACTATTTGCTAATTTCTTATTTTTCCTAAGATGGAGTTTTGCTATGTTGCCCAAACTCACCTTGAACTTTTAGGTTCTAATGCATCAGCCTCAAGTAGGTAAGTGCCACCACACCTAGCTTCTCAGTTTTGTCTCATTTAAGCCTAGGCTGGCCTCAAACCACTGTGTAACTGAGGATGACCTTGAACTGATCATGCTGGAACTAGAATTACAGGGGCATACCTACCATGCCTAGTTTCAATGCTTTTTCTAAGAGTACATTTAAAGGTTTCTTATTTTACTTCAAATGGTTAAACAAAAAGGAAAGGGAAGGCTATGCCTACAGAATATGTCAAGTTGCAAAGCGATTATGTGCTTTTCAGGGAGAAAATCATGCTTCATTTAATGTCCTATGGAAATAACAATCAGGACTTCAGGTAGGAGGTTAACTAGCTGCTTCCTCTGGAGCATGTCTGCTAAGATACATACATCTTAAGATAGAGGAAATAATAAAGCCTTCAACTATCTCTTTAGTTTATAAGCGATGTCTATACCCTATATTTCCTTAAAGACAATTTGGTAATTTTCTTTTACATCTATTTATTTGTGTGGACAGGGGCAGATGTAGAGGTCAGAAGATAATTGGCAAGCTGGTTTCCTCCTTCCACCATGTGGGACCCAGGGATTGAACTCAGGTCATCAAACTAAGTACTAAGTGCCCTTACCCACTGAGTCGTCACAAAGGCCAATTTGGCAAATAGATTAATTCCTAAAGTATTATAGACTGGACTCAGACCTCACAAACCCTCAGAAGAGTAGTGAATTATCACTCAAAGGTTTTGATGGCATGAAGGTATAGTATTAGGATGTGCCTAGAAGTACTCAAGGAAAGAGTCATAAAGGACATTCCTTACCCTGCAAACTGACATCTGGTTTGTCGTAAGTGTGCCTGTTTTGTCTGAGCAAATAACAGAAGTACAACCAAGGGTTTCCACAGAAGGTAGGCTTCGAACAATGGCATTTTTTTTCGCCATTCTTCGAGTTCCAAGAGCCAAACAGGTAGTGATGACAGCAGGCAGACCCTCAGGGATGGCAGCAACAGCTAAGGCCACTGCAATCTTAAAGTAATAGATAGCACCTCTGATCCAGGAGCCTCCATGAACTGGGTCATTGAAATGCCCAATGTTTATGATCCAGACTGCAATGCAAATGAGGGAGATAACTTTGGAAAGCTGTTCCCCAAACTCATCTAACTTCTGCTGCAGTGGTGTTCTCTCCTGTTCCGTTGCAACCATTTCATCCCGGATCTTGCCAATTTCAGTATTAACTCCAGTGGCCACCACCACTCCCATGGCTTTCCCAGCAGCAATGTTTGTACCCTACAGAGAAGCAGAAGAGAACTGGTCACAGGATTAATACCACATTCCAACTTAAAAACTGACCAATATATTCAAACGCTGAATTTTGACCAGGGCACCCATATTCTCTCTGCTGGCTTTCCCAAGGCTAGGTCAGGTGACTAGCTATACAACACTGACTGTGAGCAAACCCTCAAGCAGGCAATGTATACCCTACCTACCCACCCTCAAACTGAACTGGGTTCCACAAAATAATTCTGTTTAATCCCTGATGCTGGAATGACATAATAGTTTTTATTATTCTCATTTTAACACCATACTATGGGTAGTTAAGCTCTTTTACTAACCCACAAGCCTGCCATTTGAAGTATCATTCTAGATTTCAAACAACCAAAATCTATGCATTTGTTTTTTTGAGACAAGGTCTCCCTGTAGCCCCAGCTGTCCTTGAACTCAGAGATTTGCCTGCCTCTGCCACCCACCATGCCTGGCTGTTTTTTTTGGTGGTGGTTGCGGGGGTGGTGTGTGTGTGTGTGTGTGTGTGTGTGTGTGTGTGTGTGTGTGTGTTTGTGTGTGTGTGTGTGTGTGTGTGTGTGTGTGTGTGTGTGTGTCTACTTTTCAACTCTGCTTACAGATTAAGAATTTAAACATGTCTGACCAAATCATTTTATTTTGCTCACAAAAAGCTGGCAATCAAACCATAAACACCTAAGTCTCATACTTGCTAGTTTTATTTGCTTTGGTATAGGGATTCAACCAAGACCCTGAGCATTCTAAGCATTACTTTGCTACATATCCCCAACCCCACTGTTTTTCAATAGCTGAGATTTACAATAAGAGTTTAATTATCTTTTGGAATAACCAATACTTTCTGAAGTCAAACATCTATAGAACTCTGAGACTATCTTCAAATTAAAGTATATTCTGGGTGCACATCTTTAATTCTAGCACTCAGGAGGCAGAGGCAGGCAGAGATCTGTGAAATCAAGGCCAGTCTGGTTTACACAGCAAGTTCCAGGCCACCCGTGGATACTGGGAGACCTTGTCTCAAACAATAGCAACATACATCCTAAGAGAAGGGTAAAGCTTAGTAAAAGGGTTTAAACATGCTTCTGTGAGGCTCTGGGTATGATTCCTAGCAACCCCTGTCTTTCCTCACACATTTGATAAAGTACTTACAGAAAAGAGCATATTCTTCTTATCTTGATTGACGGCACGTGGGTCAGGGACAGGGTCAGTGTGCTTTATGACTGAAACTGATTCACCTAAGCAGGTTTTATAAAACAGATGGTTAGCTGTATGAAGCATATCCAACCTTGATAGCCCCTAACCACACCACACATTACCAGTTTTTACTATTGCCACTATGAGCAGGCATGGCGGCACACACCTGTAATCCCAGTACTCAGAGGCAGACATGGGAGGATATCTGTGAGACTGAGGCCAGCCTGGTCTACAGAGTGAGTTCCAGATCAACTGGGGCTACAGGGAGATCCTATCTTAAAATAAGCAAACAATAAAAAGATTCATTTTCAAATAATACCCCAGTTACCTTTTGTTTTCTGAATAATTATTCAAATTAATTTGCGATACAATTTCTCATTTAGCCTGCAACTGTTATTAGCACATTCAATTGGGCTGGGCATGTAGCTTATTTGGCAGAGTGCTTGCCTAACATGCCCTGGGTTTGATCTCCAGCACCACATAAAATTGGGCTTGGTGGTACATGCCTGTGATCTAGTTGTTGGGAGGTGGAGAATGAAGGTCATTCAAGGTCATCCTCACCTACATAATGAGTTCTGGGGGCGGTGGTGGTGGTTTACACTGTATCTCAAAAAACCAGAAGGAAAAGGAGGACTTCAAGATTCAGACAATTTTTTTTTCTTTTAAACTTCTCAGGGTATATTTCTATAGACACATCCTGAGAATTTCATGCATATAGTCCAATCATTTCCCTAATATTTTATTGCTTAACTAGCTTCAAGCTGCTGATAAACCTTTATAAAAAAGCTATTTTTTAAGTACTTACTACATGTATGATCTTACTTTATTATTATTTTTTGGTCTTTTTTGAGACAAGGTCTCCCTGTAGCCCCAGCTGACCTGGAACTCACTCTGTAGACCAGGCTGGCCTCAAACTCAAGAGATCCACCTGCCTCTGCCTCCCAAGTGCTGGGATTAAAGGCATTTGCTATTACACCCAGCCTTTTAAAAAATATTTTATCATTTTTATTTTATGTATGTATGCAAGTGTACCCGTGTCATGCAATGCCACTGAAGGTCAGAAGAGGGTATTTGATTCCCCTGGAACTGGAACTTTGGACGGATGTCAGCCACTATGTAGGTGCTAGGAATTGAACCCTGGTCCTCTCCAAGAGCAGTCAGTGCTCTTAACTGCTAAGCCATCTCTCTGGTCCCTGCATTGTTTTTTTAAAAAATGTTTTCAAACCCACATTGACAGAAAAAAAAAAAAAACCTCTAAGAAATTAAACATCCTAGAGAAGAATAGGGTAGGAGGATGGTATAAAGGCACTGAGTACTTATTGCATGGAGCCAAGAGAGGCTTCAGGAATTCAGTGAATTTCCAATATGTAATGCTTACCTGTGAGAATTGACTGGTCAACTCTTAGAGTTGTAGACTTGATGGAAGTTAATCTTATATCAGCAGGAACTTTGTCACCAACTAATTAGGTGTAAAAAATAAAGGTAGCTAAAGTGAGCAACTTTTGTAATCACTTAATGTTTCCAAATCAAGCACAGATTTCTTCTTTTTCTTTTTTTTTGGGGGGGGGGTGTCTTTTTGAGACAGGGTCTCCTTGTAGCCCCAGCTAACCTGGAACTCACTATGTAGAATAGGTTGGCCTTGATCTCAGAGATCCGTTTGCCTCTGCTTCCCAAGTGCTGGGACTACAAGTGTGCACCACCACACCCAGCACAAGCACTGGTTTTAAAGAATATAAATACTCTATCCGACACAATACAGGAAAAAAATTTTTTGAGCAGCATGTACATAGTTTACTCAAGAGTAGAATATTACCAGCCAACATAGACTATCCTTAAAACAAACAAGATGGGGGCTGAGGAAATAGCCCAGCTGATGGAGTGCTTACCTAGCATGCACAAAGCCCTGGGTTGGATCTGTAGGGTATTATAAACCAGCTATGCTGGTGCATGCACAGGTAATCCTCAGCACACCAAAGATATAGGCAGAAAGGCCAGGATTTCAAGATCAACTTCAGCTATAGAATAAATCTGAAGACAGACCCTGTCTTCAAAACAAAAAAACCCACAAATATAAACAAGAGGATCAATCTAAGGTTCATAAAAACTGTGGATGGATATAAAAATCTAAAATATACAGCAAGATGATGATGCTTGGAAAACCTCTAAGCACATATTTTAAAAAGCGCCCTGTGGTTTTATATATGCTCAGCTCAGGTCTCCAAGTTTTTACTTTAAATATTTAGTAGCAATACTAACTACAAGGGGTCTATGATTCACTATTAGAAAAGCAACATTCCTAAGAACAACAGACATTTGGATCTTTTATTTTTTTTTTTTTAATTTATTTTTATTTTTTGGTCTTTTAGAAACAGGGTCTCCCTGTAATGGAGCTGGTCTGGAACTCGCTATGTAGACTAGGCTGGCCTTGAACTCAGAGTTTCGCCTGCCTCTGCCTGGTATTAAAGGCACGTGCCACCACATCCAGCAACTGGTTCTTTTAAAAGATGCTCAATTTCTTCATAAAACAAATGCAATATGAGTTGGCTATATGGAAATAAGAACTCACACAGCATGTTTCAATAAGTTAAAATAAAAACAACAAAACAAGGCCAGGGTGACAGCTCACCAGGCAAAGGTACTAGCAATCTGAGTTTGGTCCCTGGAGCCCATGTAAAAGTAGGAGAACCAATGTCACAAAGTTATTCACTGACCTCCACACGTGCTGTTGCACGTTCCCACTCAATCACACACACATATATAATAAAAAATTTCTGAAAATACATGCATTTTTTTTATCTTTTTGAGACAGGGTCGTCCTGAAGCCCCAGCTGTGCTAGAACTCACATAGATCCGCCTGCCTCTGCTTCTTGAGTGTTGGGATTAAAGGCATAGTCCACCACGCCTGGCTTATTATTATTTTTTTATTTATTATTATTTTTCTTTAGAGTGTATTGCCTGAATGTGTGTATGTACACCTGTGTTGTGCAATGCCTGAGGGTCAGAAGACATTGGCTCCTTGGAACTGGAGTTATAGACTGTTGTTATTCGCCATGTGGGCGCTGGGACTCAAACCCAGGTCCTCTGCAAGAGCAGCCAGTGCTCTTAACCACTGAGCCATCTCTCCAGCCCTTTATGTATTATTTTTCTTACGTGTATGAGTGTATTGCCTATATGTACATGTTAATGCACCCATGTCATGCAACGCCTGTGGACATCAGAAGAGGGTGTTGAATTCCCCTGGAACTGGAGTCACAGCTGTTAGCTGCCATGTGGATGTTGGGAATTGAACCCGGGTCCTTTGCAAGAGCAGTCAGGGCTCCTAACTACTGAGCCATCTCTCCAGCCCCAATAAAATAAATTTAAAAGAACAAAATATAGAGGCACTTGGAAGACAGAGGCAGACAGATCTCTAAGTTTGAGGCCTGCTAGGTCTACATAGAGAGTTCCAGGCCAGTTAGGTAGTGCCATAGGTAAAGGTGACTAAAGCCAAGCCAGGCCATATGAGCTCAATTGCTGGGACCCACATAATGGAAGGACAACTGACTCCAAGGTATTCCCTGGTGCATAGGCACCCATATACATATATGCAAAAGAAATGTTTAAAAACAAAACCAGAGGTACATATGATCAAAATATACAGGTAGAAGTCAATGAGAATTCTTCCAGTGCTAAAAACTCCAGATGCATGTAATATCACCGAATGTTCTGTGTCACATAATATTCGTACCCCACAAATTCCATGAGCTTATTTTAAAGATACCACTTATATAATATGTAGTTCATTCATACCACCTATGGTTATCATTGAATGATGAAACAACGTTATTCACACCAGTGAAAATTTCCTAAGATAGACTGGATAGAGTGGGAAAGCACGAGACATGAATGACACCTATGGGTCTGCCAGTGGTATAAGGAAATACTTTTGGGAAGGTTTAACAAACTGGGAATATTGAATTACTAAACCATGGGTAGAGGGAGTCATTTCACCTTATAGTCTGTTTTGGTACCATTTGAATTATCAAATAAATTAATAAACCTTCTGCATAACCTGAAGATTTTTCAAATCAACTGAGCCTTCTTTCTGGGGCTGAAAAGTTCCTTTAACAACCCTTAAAAGGGCTCACATTCAAGCTCCTTTCCCTGATGTGTATAACATAAAATGTCACAACAGATTCAGTAACAGGTAAAACCAAAGCTCCATGTGCACCCAGAACAGTGCAGAACCCTGTGGGTCTTCAGATATTGTCAAACACACACCTGCATAAGAACTAGACATTTAAAAAAAGGGTAGGGGCTGGGGGTGTAGCTGAGTGGCAGAGCTCATTCAGCAGCACTCTAGTACTGCCTCCAGCCTCAACTGTGAAACTCTCCATAATGTTCTGAAAGTCCACAAAGGTAGTTTTGGAAATAAAGGAAATACAGCTAAAACTCAGAACAAGTAAATTCTCTGATAAAGCAGATGGTATTTTAAAGTCAAATCTTGTATTTTCCAGATTGTACATAGATGACCGCCCCCGCCTCAAAAAAAAAAAAACAAACAAAAAAAAAACAACAACAAAAAACTTTAGTGCATACAACAACCCTAGGCCTAAGAAGGCAATGTAGTAGAAGATTAGAAGATTACAGAGAAAGAGCTTGTCAGTATGTAATCTCCAGGGGGCAAAGATCATCCTTGCATTTGACTTCAGGGATACATACATGAAGGTGAAATTCCTGCTGGAAATGCTTATACAATGAATAGCAATATTCCAATGGAATAAACTAGAACCTTTCATTTTAATGTAACTCTGTTCATACTATATTAAAGGGAGTACTTCCAAAAGATCATTAAAACATTAAAGACGTTAAGGCTGGGTGTGACAGCACACACCTTTAATCCAATACTTGTGAGGGGAAATCATCTCTGAATTCAAGGCCAGCATGTTCTACATACACAGTAAGACTCTGTTGCCAAAAAACCCAAACAGTTTAAATTATAAAAAAAAATTAGGAGCTGGAGAGATGGCTCAGCAGTTAAGAGCACAGCTCTTCTCTCAGAGGACCCAAGTTTGGTTCCCAGCACTTGGGAGGCAGAGGCACATTTGCCTGTAACTCCAGCTCCAGGGGCTCTGACACCCTCTTCTGGCCTCCAAGGACACGCAAACCCTGTAAAAAAAAAAAAAAAAAAAAAAAAAAATTTAAGTTTTTGTTTTGACAGCAGCACCTTTACTGGCTGAGGCATCTCAACACTGTTGTCGCCCTCCCGCTCTTGAGACAGCATTTCCTTGTAGTTGTAGCCCCACCTGGCCTGGCAGTCCCTATATGGACCAAATTGGCCTCAGTCTCAGAGAGCCTCCTGCTGCTGCCTCCTGAGTGTTGGGATTAAAGATGTGAACTACCACGTCTGACCCCAATTATCTTTATTTAAAATTTTTATTTTATGTGTATGAGTGTTTTGCATTCGGGTATGTAAGTAGACCTGTATCATGCAATCCTGGAAGAGGACAGAAGACAGTACTGGATCCCCCGGAAATTTAGTTATGGACAGTTGTTAGCCACCATGTGGGTGCTGGGAACCTAACACAGTTCTTCTGCAAGGCCAGCATATGTATGTGTGGGTGCCTGGAGGTCAGAAGTAGGTTATCAGAGCCTCTAGAGTTAGAGGTGGTTGTGAGCTGCCTGAGGTAGGTGAAGGGAACCCAACTCTGGTCCTCTACAAGAGTAGCCAAGTGCTCTTACCTACTGAGCAGTCTCTCCAGTCACACCAAACCCTCATCCCTATGATGTTGGGGATTGAGGCCAGGGCATATGCTAGGCAACTGCTCTACTACTGTAGCACTGAGCTACATCCGCAGACATTGCAAGTCCTTGGTGTTATGAGACAAGGTCTCATATATACCCCTGGCTGGTTCCATCTTTGTATCTGCCTCCTGTGTGCTGAGAATACAGAACTGTGGGACCATAGAGAAAATACGAGTTTTGAGGCAACAAATGCACAAATCCAGATTTTTTAATAAGCCAACATGTCTGTTAGAATACGGTGGAACCAATACTTACAGCTATATGCTAAGTGGAAAATACTTACATCTGCATTATAACGAATCAAATCACTATTCCTCTAAAGGCATAAATATATGAAGGCTAGTGCTCTGTTGTATAAAGTACATTGATGTACATTTAATTACTGATCAAATATTAAAGACTGAACTCCAATGTAAGTCTACAGGAACAAATGACCTGGGATGCCCTTAAAGACAAACAAAATTCTTTTCACTTGATCCATGGACCCCATGAGGTAGCAGAAGAGAACCAAATGGAGAATTGTTCTTTGACCTCCACTGGGGGATAGGGGTGGGGGGATCATGCACATGCACATATACATACATACACAATTGTAAATGGCAATTAAAGTATTCTGGAATTGGGGCTGGAGGGATGGCTCAGCTGTCAAGGGCATTGGCTGCTCTTGCAGAGAAC